AGCTGAGCTAGCAAGAAAGAAGGAATTCCTGAGAGGCAGAACAAAGCACAAATCCAGAGGGTTCGCAGTGCTGGAGCACTTGAGTAGGTCAGTTCCTGTAACCTACTGACGTCTGAGCAGAAGTCAAAGCTCGGAGTCTTCATGGAGTAGGAACTTTGGTCAAGACCCAGAAAGCCTGGAACCCCAGAGGTGCCCCTTTCAGTAAAAGGATGAACTTGACAAAAACTTGCCTCAGAGAAAGAGACGAGAAATCTGCCTGCTTGGCACTGGCTCAGGGGTTTTCGGAGAGAGGGTGTCTGGTGTTGGCACAAGGGAGGGTCTCCTGAGAATTCGGTCCACGCACTGTTCCTCATGCGGGTTTGGAACAATTCACGTACCTGTACTGCTCAGAGAACATTGAATGGGGATCTTAAAGCAATCTCCAACCGATGCTGGCCACAGGTATCTGGCAGAGGCCAGCGCAAATTCTCTGTGCAAGAACACATCTTCACCCCAGTCCTCAAATAATTATCCCAGATAAACCTCTGAGGATCACGAACTCACAGGTATGTGAGGAAACAAGCCACCCTGATCAGAATCAGCAAAAATAGCAGAATCAGACTTGCAGGGACCTGGGGAATTACCAGACACAGATTATATTCAGAGAACTAAAACAGTAACTAAAATGGGACCAAGGGGCCGGGCGTGGTGACTCACGCCTGGAATTCCACACTTTGGGAGGCCAAGGCGGTGGGATGGCTTGAGGTCAGGAGTTCGAGACCAGCCTGGGCAATAAGGCAAAACCTCATCTCTACCAAAAATACTAGCCGGGTGTAGTGGTGCACACCTGTAGTCCCAGCTACTCAGGAAGCTGAGGCATGAGAATCGCTTGAGCCAGGGAGATGGAGGTTGCAGTAAGCCAGGATCAAGCCACTGCACTCCAGCCTGGGCAACAAAGTGAGCCTCTGTATCAAAATAAAATGGGACCAAGGATTTAAAAGCTTGCACAAGGCCAGGCGCCGTGGCTCAAACCTGTAATCTCAGCACTTTGGGAGGCTGAGACTGGTGGATCACTTGAGGCCAGGAGTTCAAGACCAGCCTGACCAACATGGAGAAACCCTAACTCTACTAAAAATACAAAAAAAATTAGCCGGGCGTGGTGGTGCATGCCTGTAATCCCAGCTACTCAGGAGGCTGAGGCAGGAGCATCGCTTGAACCCAGGAGGCAGAGGTTGCGGTGAGCCAAGATCGCGCCACTGCACTCCCACCTGAGCAACAGAGCAAGACTCTGTCTCAAAAAAATAAAAATAAAAACTTGCACAAGGGACTGGGCCGGTTTGAATTAAAGAATAAGACTTGTGGAAAACCATCCTACTGGAATGTTTCTCTAGCTTTCGTCATGAATTGCTTTGACCTGAACTCTTACCCTTGGCTTTGCCGCTCCCTGACTGGATATTTGACTCCGTGAAGCCTCTTTCACAGGTGTCTTTTGGCCAAGCAACTCCTCGCCACTCTGTCTGCTCCCCAGTGATGACCGCTTGCCTGGGGCATCATTTTCTGTCTGGCTTTTTCTTGCTGTCCCACCAGCATTCAGCCTTTCCATCCAGCTTCCTGTCCCCACTCTGTCCCCAGAGCATTTCCTTTGCATCCTTGTTTTCAGTTCTTGCCCTAATTCCTTTTCCCTCTCAACCTGGGGGTCAAAACTTGGGTGATAAAACTAAATAATCACTAATAACTAGAGTGGCTGCAGATTCCCCAGCCTTCCCAGTATTATCCCTGCACCAAAATATTTGGTGAATTTGTTGGCAATTCATGAAATTCTTTTTTTTTTTTCTTTAAGACAGTCTCCCTCTGTCACCCAGGCTGGAGTGCAGTGGTACGATCTCCGCTCACTGCACCCTCCACCTCCCGCGTTCAAACGATTCTCGTGCCTCAGCCTCCCAAGTAGCTGGGATTATATGCATGCACCACCAAGTTCTGCTAATTTTGTACTTTTTGTAGAGACGGGGCTTTGCCAATGTTGGCCTGGCTGGTCTTGAACTCTTGGCCTCCCAGCGTTCTGGGATTACAAGCCTGAGCTATCTTGTCCGGCCAACTCACGAAATTCTGCTTTGACCAAAACAGCTATTTTTATGAATGATCTTCATGAGATTACAGCCTGAAACTTCCTGCCAACCCTTTAATGTTTTGAACGTTGTAAATCTGGTGTTCAGCTGTCCTTTATAATTCAAATGTCGAGTGCCCAGTGTTTCATTGCTAGCAGTCAGGGAGCTTGATAGTCACATGAAAACAACAAAAAAGCATACAGAAAAACATGCAAAAGTAATTTTCCTCTCTATGCATGTATAGGGCACTATAGAAGTGAATTGGTCAGACTCAGTTGTCTCAGAAAAGAAAATGTAGTCCAAAATACTGTTCTTGGTAGCACATTTGCCAAGAGCATTAAGATTACCTCACTAGAGTCCTCCTGACGTGGTTCCCTTGAACTCCAGCCGTTTCAGCCTTCAGACAACCGGATATTATGCAAGCACCCAATTTCCTAGAATAATAGTTCTTGCAATGTTTGTCCACATTAAAGACTCATTTGCCTTGAAATACTAATGGATTGCAACAAAATGTCTAAGGCGGTTTCTCACACCTTTCATTCAGAAAAACCATAGAGGCCTCAAATAACAGACCGAGAGGTCAAGTTCCTTATTCACAAAATATCAAACTAGGTATCTATGTGGGAGCTAGTTGATATACTTTCAGGGCCAAAGCCTATGACTTTTATGTTTTTTATTTTCTAGTTTGGGTTGTTTTCCCTAGAAAAAAACAACATGCAAATTATAGCATTCTGATCTGTATTATGAGCTTAAGGGCAGGCTCTTCAGTATAGGGAAGAATCACTGCCGGGAGTTTGCCAAGTTGATGGAAACCATCTGAACGTGAGTTACTGTGTAGTCTTTCCTAAGAGACTTGAATTCAGATTCTGGGTCTGTTACTTTACTATGTGACCTTGGGCAAGTTTATCCATCCTTCCTTTTTATTACAGAGAATTTCAGACATAAATGAAAGTCAATAATACAGCAGAAACAGTGGTTTCCAGGAACTGGGGGAGGAGGGGAATAACAAGTAACTGCTAATGTGTAAATGTCCAGTAATTGAAAGAGAATTACTTTTTGGAGTGGTGGTTGACAACTCTGAATGCATTAAAAACCACTTAACTGTATACTTTAAAAAGGTGA